ACCCACCCTCTTTTCATCACCTTTGTCCCTGTCCCTGCCCTTCCCACCCACTGCTCGTGGCGCAAAGTTCTGCCAACTCAGCGGGCGTAGAACCCTTCCCCTCCGCCGTCACCGCAGGCCCAGAGAAAAGCGGCTCCTGGAGGAGGGGGACACGCGGGTGCGTGGCGGTTCCCCCCTCGCAGACCCCAGGAGGATGGGCCGCGAGCACCCGTACGGGGGCATACGGGGGTCGCCCCGCAGCTTCTCTCACCCTGGCACGGCTGTCGCAGCAGCTGGACAACGGTGACATTGGTGAGGACGATGTCGCGTTTCGACATGGTGTCCTAGGCCTAGCCGCCCCGGGACCTGCGGTGATGTTACTGAGTTGCGGGGCACCGGGTCTAGAGCTTCTAAGCAAGATGTCACGGTGCCCAGTGACGTCACAGAGGAGGCAGTGCGCAGGCCTCAGGACTTGGGACTACCGCCGCCCCACCCGCGTGGAGCTGCGGGACAACCTCACTGCACCACCATTCCAAGGGCACCCGTGGGATCTGGACTGGAACCCACCTTTTCACACGGGCACTCATAGCTCTTTTCTCCCTTGACCTGGTGGCCCCCTCTCCCCGACCTTTGGAGAGTTCCCTAGCGGTTTCCTTGAGCCTGGAGATGCCTGGAGAGCCCCACGTGTGGCTGCTCTAAGGCCTCCCGCAGATGCCGGTCTTCTGGCATGCCCCAGGCCCTTTGGGACTCCCCATCTAAAATGCCCTCTTTTCCCAGTGACTATCAGTCCCCACCCAACCGGCCTCAGTCTCTGCCCATCTTCCAGGAAGCCCTGTGTGTGACTCCCCATCCCAGCTCGGATGCTCTAATATGCAAAACTACCGCGGAGCTGTGCTGGTGGAGCAGCCTGATCCCCCCACCACTCAGAGGCTGAGGTGGGAGACTCGCTGGAGCCCAGAGTCCAGACCAGCCTGGCAGCATACAAAAAACCCTAAATACTTTAGAGCTGTGCTTTCTATAATTTTATTTCCCTCACGGCATATGGCTAAATATCATATTTTTATTCATTTATTTTCATGCCAATTTTCTCTGCCACTAGACCATAAACTCTAGAAGGGCAAGGGCCTTGTCATCTTTGTCACTTCTACAGCCTATTGACAAGAGTGTTGGGCACTTGAAAGGTGTTTGCTCAGCATAATTTAGGCCTACCTTGGTGATATTGTAGGTTCAGTTCCAGACCACTGCAATAAAGCAAATATAGCAATAAAGTGAGTCACAGATTTTTTGGTTTCCCAGTGTGTATAAAACTTCTGTGGGGCTGGGGTTGTGGCTCAGCAGTAGAGCACCTGCCTCACCTGTGTGGGTTCCATCCTCAGCATCACATAAAAATAAATAAAATAAAGGC